ACAGAACTTTCCTCGATTTTTGTAATCCACAAAATGTTAACCGAGTTCTTTTTACTCACGAACTCGTATTAAAAGACGTGGCAAGTTTTCTTGCCACATTTTTCTCTGGAAAATTACTCTTGATACTCCATGAAAATATGCTAGATGAAAAAATACGAGTTTCCAAGTTTCAAAAGTGGATCGAAGTCTTTTCCTTTTTGAATTTTTTTTTACAAGTTTAAATAAATGATGATAATCCACTCGCTTTGCTGTTATGTCCATATAAAGTTGATATTATCTCAAAAATAGAGAAGAGAGTAATTAGCTGCAGGATCCAAGTTCTATGGTGATACGAACTCCCGCTATTGTTGTTGTCGAGGATTCTTGTCGCTGCTGTTTTTTTGGTTTTTTTTTTTTTTGCTCTGCGAAATGTCGCACACAAGCTAAAGTTTTCCGACTTTTTAATACACGGCGTTAATTGCTGCCTATTCCTGGAGCCGTAATTGTTTCGAATGGGTCCCATTTTCACGGAAGAAAAGCAGCTCCTGCCGGAGGAACAATAGCCGAGGGTCGGTCCTCGCTCAACTGCACCACGTGTGAGTCCAAAGCTGCGACAGTTTTTTTTTTTCGTTTCTTTCTTTTTAGAATTTAATTTTAACTTTTCTCAACTCGACTGCCCTCATCATCTCTCATCCCACACGACTTTACACGCATTTCGTTCCATGCTTGCGAGCAGTGGCCGCGGTGAAACGGGAAGAAAAACGAGGTTTTATGCGGGACGATTCCCTGATAACGGTGGGAACTGGGATGACGATGAGGAGTAGGAAACCGTTCCGTTGTTATCATCGTCAGCCGTTTACATATGCCAGGGTTCAGATGAAAAGTTTTTGCGATTTAAAAAAAAAAATCATCAACTCGTTTCCTCTGTTCATCGCACCTTCGACGAGAAAGCTTTTCTTCATTGGCCAACTTTTCATTTCGCAAAAAAAAAAAAACCTTTTGCTTTGCAATAGAACGGCGGTTCGGTTTTTTATTCGACAGTACCTTAGATTCACAGAGAAAGCGCATGCTTGCTTTATTCTGCGTGACTAATGCAATTTGAATGAATATTTTCGGAAATACATTCAACCAAATCAGTCAGTTTAGTAAATTATACAAAATCTGACGTGTTCGAGATTATTGTGCTGATATAACTGGAGCATGTGCAGAATAAATGGAATGCTCTGATTCTCGAGACGTTCAATGTCATGGAAATGTATGTTTTCTTTTTATGAACAAAGTGAATATGCGTATAATTTTCTGGAGAAAAATAGTCTCCCTCTTCTTTTTTTGTTGGAAAATCTGACGAGGGGAGAGACGTGGTTTCCTATCCCTTTTTTGGAGGTCTTTGTTGTGCAAGAATGTTAATTTCCTGAATAAATATGTAGAATCCTAGGTCAAACATTTTTCTTGTGGTAGAGAAAAGATCTGAAACCGATCTTGCAAATGTAGTCCTGAAATAGTTTCTCCTCTTTGCTGCCGTGGAAGAAACGAGAAGCAAAATTTCACCAACTTGAGCAATTGTTTTAGTCGTGTTGCGCGAAGACAATACGGTACTGTATTTTTACTTGCTTGGAGTAATCGTCTTTTTTCTTATATCTGCCGTTAAAAATTTTCGGCTAGCTTCAAAATCATTCAGCCATACCAGCATATACTGGTCTAGAACCAGCATATTTATTCTGACCTGGAACTTGAGTCACTTTCCTTGTGACACTTGTTATACGAAACAGGCAATTTCTTTTTTTTTTCGCGTTTCACGGAGAAAACTTCGAGCCGCTTCGGAAGAGACACATTTTGGATTTTTTTGAAATTTATTACCCCGTGCCTTGAAACACTTCGACTTTTTGAAGGACTGGAGATTCGATCATGTCAAGACCGAAAGAAATCTTCATTGGGTAAAACGATAGATATTAATTTTTTCAGGAGATGTTTTCAGTCATTATTCGGGAAACTTCGTCATGAACCCCTGAGCGATACCATTTTTGGGGAGAGCGGGAATATGATGAGTCGTCGTCATCGCCACCGCGTGTCGGCAAACATGGCCTAACATTACATTCTTTATATTTCATTCCTAACTTCCTTTCTTTGTTTTTTGCGTCAATGTGTGTGTGTATGTATGTACGTGTGTGGGCTTGTTGTCTGTGTTTGCTTTGGGATCGTGTTTGCCCGGAAAGACCCACCTCATTTCCCTGGCGTGTGTTGGAGGCACACACACACCCAGTCGCACATGAATAAAGACGAAAATTAACTGAGACAGACTTGCGTCTTTGCGGGGATATTTTTGCACCGACCAGAGGGTAATTGAATTCTCGTTGAAAGAAATGAACGGACTTGTTGTGTTTAGTTTTCGTGGAGTTCCGAGGAAGTTTTGCTGATTTACAATTTTTCTCGCGTGAGATTTGGTCACTGACGTTTCAAAATGTTTGGCGGAGCTTCGAAGTACAGTTCTTCTAGTATAGCATTTTAACAGAATTTGCCAAAGGAAGAACTTATTGAGTGTCATGAACAGAACTTCGTTTCTTTTTCAGGTGTTTTTCGTGTACATTCATAAGGGACAAAGTACAGCAAATGCTCGCTATGATAGTAATTCTGTGGCAAACTTCGCTTTCGGAATCTGCTAATTTAAACCTATAATTGCACGAGGATCGTCAAGGTAAAAAACACATTCGTTTAAAAATTACTGGTAGATATGAAAAATTGTCATTCAGGCGATATTTAGATCATGTGAATTGTTGTACGTCACCAACAGCTTCATAAACCGAAGAAGATTGTCTTGTTAACCCTTTCTCTTCAGAATGATGAAGGAAATTCGGACCCTCAATTTTGGATTTATTCCATTTGGTGTGAGCGAAAATTCGAAAGCAATGGTCTTTGAAATTCGAATACTGTATGACTCAATGCAAAAAAAGTTCGGTTTCAGCCGCGCAAAAAGCTCTTCTCATGAGGAACAGACCACTGACAAAACATTGTGAAATTTTTTGAAGTTGTTTTGAGAGCTTTAGTTAAGCTTAAATATTTTCGCGAAATAAATGGACGTTGCTCGGTAAAATAAATGTAGGATTATTAAACGGATGTAAGATTTCACTTACTTTCACAATTTACGACTTGAAGGCACGCATTCGATATTCTAATGGAATATGGAAAGTTAAGTTCAAGAAATCATGAGCTCTGACTCAACTGCCACACGTCACGATGCAAAAAAATTCTCTGAAGAAATTTTTTGCGTCCGAAACAATGTGACACGCATGAAGATTTCCACGAGACTTCTCGAAGCTCGAGGCACTTATTTTCTCGCTCGCGGAGAAAATCGTGACTTTGAAACGAAAACTCTTTCGACCCGTGTGACGTGGTTACAGTTTCTCCCGAGACATTGAGACACAGTGCAGAAAATTGAAAAATGCTTTCGTGACGCTCCAACCCACCCTCGTTCCGTCGAATTTTTTTTTTGTGCAAAAAGAAGAAGCAGATCGAGAAGAAATCTTTTACGCTCACTTTCTGCAGTCAGACGACTCAGACCCGGGGGGAAACGTGAGCAAACGCGTAAATTCCACGCAAGAATTAATCACGCGGGTGAAAAAAAACTAGACGGTGCGTTTCGACTTCTCACACCCCTCCTAATTTCGTCTTTTTGGCAATGAGCACCTGGAAAAAAAATTGCGTGGAGCAGTCGGAAAGTTTCAGTTTTTTTTTTGCGCGCAAAAATTAGAAGGGGGGTTTTGGCTGCAGATGAGTTTCGGAGACAGCAGTGAGCTGACATAGTTTCGGACTAGAACTGGGTTTCAGTTTCGTCCTATTCCCTTGAAATTATCAGCCGAGTTTTCAAAATGTTATTTGGCATTAAGTTAAACGCAGTGGGTTTCAATCGTTCATCATCGACTAGTTCGCTTTCTTTTGGGGGTTTTAACCGGGGATTTTCTCGTTTACTTACACTAAAAATTTTCTTCTCCAAACCTTATTTAATGAGGCCAGCTTTTTTGCCGAAGAATTTATAAAAATAATAATTTCGAAACAAAGGTTTACTTGTGAAATTTTCGTTAAGATGAACGTGAAATATTTCGGATATCATGGTAAATTTTGTACTGCTTTTTCTTGGAAGTCCGTATTTTGAAATATTGTTCTGCACTGATGGATCATCTCCGAGGTGATTTTGTGTACAGCGATATTTTCGGAATAATGATATGTTTTTTTTATCCAGACAATTTTGTTGCGCATGAACAGTTATTTAAGCGTTTCTTTTTAAACGAATAATTGCTCCCACCTCTTGCACTGTATTTATCAGCCTATTGTTCCACTCCCATGAATTATTCATGTGTCAATTCTGGAACATGCTAAATTTGTGGCAGGTTTTTTTAGAAATTTTTGTCGAATTTTAAAATACTGCACTCATGAAATTTCTGCTCTGTAAATAATGTCAGAGTTTCCCAGCTGCCTCCTTTCATTTCTCTTGTTTCAATAATGAATCCCACGGGGCCGTCGAGATAATCAACTCTGCCCGACGGGGTTACCAGTAATTGAAAGATGTGTGGAAAGGGTAAACGCCTTTTTTTTTCCTTGAGACAAAGACTTTCTGAATTTCCTTCCAGCGTTCTCGACGACATGCCGAGAGAAGGGACTGAAATAAACGGAAGCTCGCGGGGGGAGAGGAAGGTTGGGTTCGGTCGGAGTCTCTTCCTAATACTTCGACTATTTTTTTCGAAATAAATTTCAAAAAGAAAGCAGAAGAAAAAGAGCGATTTCGAAAGGCACAGACCTGTCGACGAGTGCATTTGCGGCTGCTCGCTGCGAAAACACACACGACGTCGCCTTTCATCCAATTTTCCCCCGGGTTTTTGGAGTGTTTACTCCCCCGATTCTTCAGCCTCCGCGCTCACTATTTTTTCCCCCATTTTCCTCAACTATCTTTCGTTTTCGAAACTTGAAATACAGTTCGAACAGCCTGTGATGTGTTTTGAAGACAGCGAGGGGGGAAAAGGTACATAAATATGAGAGGAGGTTCGCGAATGGTGTCTGTTTCGTGTCCGATAGGTGACTGAACTTTTTTGACCGAGAATCCTTCCAGCACTCATTCGCGGGGTTTCTTGATTGCTTTTTTTTTAGATGAAAATTCCAAATTATTTTAATGCATTTCTTATTTCGCTTATTTGAGGAGTTCCAAGACTTTTCTCTCCCCGAAGATGAAATTCCGATTTTCTGACTTACGACGTTGTCATGATCCTTTTTTTCATGTTTTCGTGAATCGATCTGAAGCTCGCACGTCAATCCGGGATCCATTTCGTCCTTGCTCTTATATAAAGAATTTTTGTTGAAGAGTGTACAAAAACTATGGGTTGGTGTGTCTGTGAATATTCAAGGATTATATTTGAATCCTTGAAACCATTTTGGGATCGACAAGAACACTTGAAGGAAGCCTCTGGCTGTGTTCCGAGGTTTTTAACGATCATGATACTCACTTGAAGAAAGTCTTCACACTGCTCGTAATTCTACGGTAGCCCTAAGATTGGTTGTAAAATCTGTGATTCTGTACAGCAGTGCGTTTTTAAATCATAATTATTGTCGCCTTCACAGATTTTATTGGCGGCTTAATTACAAAAGATTTTGCAAGCCTTTCGTGGACGCTCGCTGCCTTGAGATGAAAGTCTTCGGGTACCCTGTACTGTATTCTTGGCCCGAATCCTTGGAACCATTATGCATTATGGGATCATTAATGAAAGTTGAGAAAATTTTATATCAATGAATTCGGATTTTCTTTAAATTGTGATGTAGGGTGATGTATCAATTTGGATGCGCAAAAAAAAATATGGAAGAGCGTCCTTTCGATCACATGTGTGTCGTGAAGTGCAGTACAGTATGCGAAATGAAATTCATCATTCCTAATTTGTGTCTTCTCCTTCTTCTTCTTTTTCCCCCCAGAAGATCCTTCATTCCCGAACGAAGACGACGAGGGATTACAAGCCCCAGTTGCTCCACCGGCCGGACAAGTCGGGCCTCCGAGGATCGTGGACCATTCGTGGGGCGACGGAGCCGGGCCGACGATGGGCGGTGTTTTCCGACAGGCCCCGGGAACTCAAATAAGACTCCGTTGTGTGTCAGTCGGTGAACCGAAACCCGCCGTCAAGTGGTACAAGGTCAGTTTCACAGTGCACTTTATGCGTATGGGGAGCCCAACGAGCTCGAGAGGAAATTTAAAGAATTGAAAATAAACAGAGAGGAAAAGGTGGGACCTGCGAGGCACCCCTATACTGGCGATGACAAGTCATAAGTGCTTTGTTTCCGGAAACACCTGCCAGTAATTGCCCGGAATTCTTTGAAAGTTTTATCCGATGTTTATCTATTGTGCAGTTTACTTTCATCAATTTTTGCGTCGTGCTTGTTTGAAAACATTAACAAAAAATGACGAGGAAAACAATTTTGTCGATTGAAACGGGTCTCACGGAGTTCTCGATTTCTAATTACTGTAATTGAAAGATAAATTGAAGGTCTTCTGCATCGTTGAAGTCCCTACAAATTTACTCAAAAATCGGAAGTGGGCAAGATCTTGAACATACTTGCCTAGGTATCGATTGAAGGAAATTCTGGAAGGCCTTCCAGATAATGTGGCTCTGGATTCGCAAAATTCAGTGACACTTACAATTTCTGTAGTTGAAAACATTGTTGGCTTCACAGAACATTTTCCGGGGTATTATTTCGATCCTGAAATGATAAAATATTTGTGGCTTATTTTCACGGACAGTTTCAAATCAGGCCAAGAAAAAAATGAATTCACAGAAAAAGGATGCAGCAGGTTTGCGGCCTGAAATGAAAGCTGAAAAAAATGTATCCCCTGAAGATTTTTTTTCTAAAAGTCAGCAAAGATTTATTCAACTTGGGCTTCATTTAGAAACGAAGACTACTAATAAATATTCGCGACGATGTTATTGATTCGGGCTTGTAAAAGAATTTTCGTATTCTTGGTCGTTTTCTTGCCTCTATGTATTCACGCTGTTGATGTTATGTTGGTTGTAATGACCTTTTTTCTGTTGATGTGATTTTTCTGCAGGATGGAGTGGAAGTTTCTGAATTGCTGCGAGATTGGCGCAGCAAATTGGAGACGCGTTGGTCGTTGGTTGTGGACAACTTGAAGCAATCCGACGCCGGGGTTTACACATGCCGAGCTGTGAACAAAGTTGGCGCAGTTTCTGTCGACTTTACACTCGAAGTTTATGGTGAGCACCTTATCAACCCCCTCTTAACCCCACTAAAGTTTCGAAAACAAAACCCGAGATAAAAACAAGCGAGGTACTGTACTTTACACGCTTTCCGCAGCTCTGCGAAGTAGAGTATTTTTGTGGGACTTGGGCTTTTAACGCGCGGCGAGCTGAATTGGCTGAAGTAATCGATTCTCCGAAACCGCGCGCGTTTTGTTGCCCGTTGTAATTGAAGAGAAAGTATTTGTGACGTGTTGGATATTTTTGATGATTCCTTCGATAGATGAAATGACTGGAAAGCCGCAGATGGTTGACGAGCATCCCATGAACACGACTGTCGTGTCCGGTGAGACCGCGACACTGCAGTGTCGAGTCAAGTCAGACTCGCAGCCGGCCATCAAGGTGAGATTTTCCGACCGATATTTCATGACATCAACTACACTGTATATTGTTCAAGATAATTTAAAATGTTTCGTATTCAACCTGGAGTGTGTGTACACCATATTTACTTGAATACAAAATGCCACTGATTTTAATACGCACCGTTTTTTTTCTCTCTCTCAAAATTGGAAAGTGTTGTTCCAACGGACGGGCACACATTACTTCCAAGTTCTTCAGAGTCAGTGGATTCTGAAAATTCTTCGAATGTTTGAGTTACCAGCTTAATCGCCTCAAAAAGGTTCAAAATAAATCAAAATTGTTACTCTCATGCCGTTCGAAGAGGCCAGTCAGTTCCATGATGAATCAGTATGACAAAAATTTGCTTAAACGATTTACGAGAAATTCTTATATAATTTTTTAAATGTCAGAAACAATCAAGTATCCCATTTTCAAATATAAGATGCATTCAAATTTAAGACGCAACCTGCTATTTGCAGTCAATTTTTACGAAAAAGAACTCATTTTGTTCGCTTAATTATGGTCTGTAACAAATATCGAAGCTGTATTTTCATCGAATTTCCATGTGCTTATCAAAAACAGATTTTTTTGGTGCTTCATCCAGGATGCCATGAAAATTCAATGAATGTCAGTCGATTGGTTTAGAAAAACTTAAGTAACTGAAAATAAAACCCACGAAAAATTTAATTCGAGATTGAATGGCTTAACATTGGAGAGCTGATATTTTCGTGCACGGTATTACCACAGGGAATGGAATATTATGGGTGATTCAACAATTTGAAAATATGTTGTTGAAGCGCTAAAAAGTGTTCGAAATTTTTAAAACTTGTTTTTTTCTAAAGGGAAATTCACCTGAGGTGAGGTGGGGAAAATATTTTGCCAGTGCAAAATCCCCCGGGGAGGGTAAGCGAACTGAGCTTTCAAAAACGATTCAAGCCCCCGTAAGGAATTTTCTTTGAAGAATTCGCATATTTTTTTCTATTCTTTTTTTTTTCTTTTTTGAGTGCGCTTTTCTGCGTCGCTTGGGGGACGCGTACGTGATCGATAATGTGTGTCTGTGTAGGTAATCTGTCCTTTGTGCCGAGTTGAAAAAATTTTTCGGTCGTTTGTCGGCAATTTTTTCACACGAGGTCTTACGATTTTTCTGCACGTAGTCTCCGAAAGCTGGGCCTCATTTTCGGATCAACGTCAGAGCTTTTCTCGAATTTGAATGATGCGTTTTTTTTAAGATTTTGAGAAGAATTTGTTTTCGACATTTGAGGTAAACTTTTTTTTTCAATATAGAAACGGAAGGCTGAAAATTTTGCACGCTTACAGTGTTTACCTTATCGTCTTGCTCTTCCTCACGATGTTAATTTCAGAGCCTTGACATTAAGTTCTATGGTTAATAATATGTTTTTAGGCAGAATTCTCTAAATCAATGTTCACCTTGCAATTCATGCAAATTGAATCAATAACAAAACTTGAAACAAGCTTTTATTCCTTTTGAGAAAAAATTAGGACTTTCTTCCATTTTCGTCCTGATGTCGGCGATTTCTTGCTTGTCGATTAACATTTTCCGCGATTCACACTAAAAATCACTGATGCAAGAAATATTCTGTAGGCGCAAATTCTTCAATGTGAATTTTAGATCTGGGACATTTTCTTTCGTAAGATTCGTGACTTGTTGGAAGTATGAAGTTTCTTCGAATTTACGAAACGTACGAACTTTAACGTAAACCGTATTTTCGAACTTTAATGGCATCCACTACAGAAAAGCGAGACCAATGCAAAAATATGAACCAACCCCTGAATTTAAACGACCGTTCGTTTTACTTGATAATTCGAAAAAAATGTAGCTGCGATCGTTTTCAAATCTTGTTAACAAATTCGATCGGGGTTCGGAAATTAACGTCGGAATAACAAGGAAAAAAAAACTGGGCAACCCTGACGTTGATGGACTGTTAATAGCGTCGCAATTGTTCAATTTATCCGCGATTTATTTATTTTTTGATGTTCAAAGTAGTGTGGTGTCGTTGGTTGGGTAAATCACGCTGGTTTACGAGGTGATCGGCGCAATATTTTTTCAGCAGGTGAAAGCAAATTGCTCTTTTCCGCACTTCCACCCGCAATTTTCCCGAAAGCGCGAGAGAGGGGGAGAGAGAGAAGCATACGATACTTATCGCACTTGCGGGCAGGACGTGACAGAACGCTTCAGTTGAATCCAAGAAAGGCCCTCGCCCCCCCCCCCCCTTTTCTTTTGCTTCTGGTAACAATAATTGCGCTCGTTTCCGAGTGCGAAAATACTTCACAATAGCCTGGCCTACCTTTTATTTGCTTTCTTTACCGAGACCCGGGGGATTGAGCAGGAAAGTGTGTGAGATAATGCAGTAATCGGGTTTCGGGGACCGGCGAGAAATTCCGCATATGCCGACGATTTGTTGCTAGCTTTTTAGTCCTTGCTTTCCGGAATACGTTTTTCACCAACTTCCCCCCCCCCCCTCTTTTATGGTAATTATTTTTTGGGTACCATATATACGAGTATGTACCCCGTGCAAATTGGCTCAAGGGTAGCTGCGATTTTCACGCCGTTTCATTTTGCTATGCCTTTCTTTTAAAATATTTATTCTCTTTGTTTGGCTTTCTTTTTCATCTTTGCTCGCGTTTGGACGGTGGACAGATTACGGTGAGAAAATCACAGCATTTAAGCCTGCGACTGTTCAAGTAGGAGTTGAGAGACGAGCTATGGCTTGTTTACGTTTACCTTTTTTTTCTCGGGAAGTAAAAGTTTGGAATGAATAAAGTACACGACGTATTCCTTGAAATATAAGCTGGTAAATATTCAGGATATTTTAACATTTCACTCATTTGAATATACCGTACTGTACTGTAAATCAACTAATTTTCAAGATTAGTATTCAGAAGAAATTCATACCACATGGTTTTAGTTTCGAGCAGGATACGAGCTACTCTTCGTAAACGGACCATTCGTTGTAAAAATTTGGAAAAACATTTGGAAACTTTCAGCTTTTTCTTAGATTTTTTTATAGAAGTAATAAGGTATTCATCATAATGCAAGTAAAGCACATTACTTCGGAAATACGTGTCACTGGAGAGGAAATTGAATCGATTTCCTTAAGACATTCTTTTTGGGAAGGTGTTGTAATTTGAAAAAATATGAGCAATTTTTGGTGCAATCTCTAGAACAGAGTTCAGTATTTGATATATTTTGAGGAGTGCAATTGCATTTAAGATTCCCTAGCAAAATTTTATCGGTTTTTACAACTGAACGAAAATGAGGTTCGTTTAAAAATACTGTATATCCGAGGGGTCCAACAAACTTTGAAGGAATAGAAATTGAAACTGCATACGATTGAGCTGAGAAACAATTCTTTATCAATTATTTTTTTCAGCTCAACCGTATGTCGTTTCAATTTTTTTATTCCGAGAAATGTTGTTGGACCCCTCGTGTGTCCGTATGTATTCTTCTCGTTAAACCCATACCTTTCTTTTTAAAATTCCTCAACGCTGAATCGAAGTAGTGTTGATTTCCTTAACGTGTGTCGATTGTTTTGATTTCCCTCCAAAAGTTTGAACTTGATTTTGTTGGAATGCATTTATTTTGTTTTTGTCTTCTTTTGATGGAAACCGTCTGTTTTCCCGCGTACCGATGTACTGTACTGTACTGTACCATCATTTTCCTTGACGAGCCTAAGTTTGCATGGCCGTTATTACGTTCGGAGAGGCGGAATGAAGTCATAGACGGATTCGTCGGGCGCACGTTTCAGACAGCGGGCGTAATTAGACAGTCGTTAGTTAATTGGGAACGTTTTTGATAATTTTGATCCAGTGGCTGAAGCGGCTGGAGACGCGAAGCGAGGAGAACAAGTACCTGAACGATAGTTTGCCTCTGCGCGGGGAGCGGTTCCGAGTGCTGAACACGTCGAGCACGTCGATGCTGGGGCCCGACACTTACCTGAACCGCCTCGTCGTGTCACACGCCCGACGTGACGATGCCGGACTCTACGTTTGCCTGGCGTCCAACGTGCTCGGCTACAGTTTCCGCCAGGCCTTCGTCACTGTCGAGCCTTCTCCCCTCGGCTCCGTCACGGCTGGTGAGTCTCTCTTTCTGTCTCCATTTTTCGTTTTTTGCTGTTGTTGTTGTTGTTTTTGTTCGGTTTTTTTAAGTAGCCCATCTCTCCCCTTCACGTCTCATTTCGTAGATATGATATTCACGATGGAATTTCGTATAAGCAACGTCTGCGAAAATTAAAATTTTTTGACGCAGGAGAGCCTTTATTATGTGGGCTGATGATCGAATGTCTTTCTATAATGAATCAAAATTAAAGAAAAATAGGATTTTTAATTTTCGAAAGTAAAGGGACTTTTGAATCGCGATTCTGAGCAATAATCTTTGGAGAAACTCTGTTGAGACGACATTTTTTTTTAAATTTTGGATATCAAATTTCCGCTTCTGGCAATGGAAATAGTACAGTGTAATATACTTCGGTTTAAAATGGAATTTCCTCCTAAAACTTAGAAGTATTTCGCTTCGGAATAGCAGCGAGCGATTTAACGGGAAAAAAATTGATTTTCCTCTTTTATGCAAAGCACTATAACTGCAGTTGAACCACGATTACCTGTTCGAATGACAGCATTTCTTTCTTTGGATAATCGGAAATGGCGAAAAATGTCGCTCCATATCTATGAGAATTAAATTATTAATAATATCGTGCGCATAGATAACATAGTTATTCTCGGCTGTCATTATGGGAGAAAAACGGCTAAGGCCACGAAACGAGAGAAATTTTTCTTGATGTCCGCTTTTGAAAACGGCGATTTTGTATATAATATTTTTTAAATGAATTTATGAAATTTGTTCCTTAAAATTTAGCTGAACAAGGCTTGGTTTTCTGCACGTCTGTAGACCATTACATGCAGTTGAACCATGATTATCTTGTCTGATGCTCAGGATGCCATCCTCTGAATAATCTAAAATGGCAGAAAATGTGAAAGAAAAAATATTCAAAAGCGACGAATTGACCGGGTCCATGTGCAGACCGTGCCATGTGAGCAGGGAATCCGTACACACCGTCAAAATTTGAGATTATGGAAAGAAAAATTTCGCTGTTGCATAGATTCTAACGAAGTCAAAATTTGTTTTTGAACTCTTCACCACACGGGCGGAAATGTTATCTTGGTTTGGAATTTCAGTCAGCATGCTACCAACTTGACATTGCTTGATTGATACAGTACTATTTATCCTGTACTGCAAATTCGAGTTTGAACAAAAATAAGATAATTTCCTTGAATTGTCATACTACATTTTTTCAAGTTGGCGTGGGTTGTACACAAATATCTCTAGTGGAGATAACTTGAGCATATCTGAGTGCAGGTCATACGTGGAAAAGTTCTGTGCATAGCAGAGTAAATTCTATGCCTTTGCTTGGAGCTTTCAATTTTTCTTGGAATCTCTGAGTAATGTATTATCGGCATTTTTAGAAAAAAAAATTGACGCATACATCTTTGAACTGTTCATGGTGACATATTTTCGCCGTTGGATTCTAAGTTAAAACTGTAATCGAGTTGGCTGCTTGCGACCCTGCCTCACGATTCAAGTACAGTACTGTACCGTATAGTTATAAAAATGTCTCCAATAATTTTTTATTTATCTCGGAATGATTTCGTTTTTGCATTGCTGATGCCTGAAGAAGCAATGAGGGGAATCGGGAGTGTTTCCCCCACGATATTCCTGTGCTAGAATTGAGCGAAAATTTGTCAATCGGAAAGACGTAGAATGTAAAGGAGCCAGTTTTTACCCGAGTCGATCAATTTTCTGAGAAGTACCAGACACCCAGCAGCGTGTGCTTTGATCAGCAAACACGTGTGCGAAATTTCCTCCCCACCCGTCAGCGGTTACAGTCCTGAACCCAAGTGGGGCGTCTTGAAAAATTTCGCCACCGGATGGAAACGAAAAATGGGGAGAGGGAAAGATATTCCTATCAAGCGGAAGTGGTATAAGCGCTGAAGGATGGAGAGCTTCATGGCGGAACCTGCTGCCATCATTTTTTTTTTTTTTTTGTGTGTGCTTCTCTCAGTTACTTATTTTTTTTTTTTTTTTCTTGTTCTCCTTTTCCTGCGACTGCTGCTGAAATGGTACGCCAAATTTCTGACAGTTGGTTGTTCTGCTGTACTGTATTTGAGGGATGCTGTTTGATGTAAAGCGAATGAGGCGACGTTTGAAACCTAAAAGTTGTGCAAGTGATTAAAGATTGGCTCAGCAGATCTCAAAATTCGAAAATTTGAGTTGCATTGTCCCAATGTAACTGTAACTTCAAGTTTCATTTCACTGTTTTCAATTTTCCAACAGGTCGTTGTTCTGTGTTGTATACACTCGAAGGATGCGATATCTGACACCTCAAACTATGCGAGCCATTTTGAAAATATTTTCAGCAGATTTGAAATTCGAACATTTGCGTTACATCGTTCCGATATAACTTCGTTTCATTTTACTTTGTTCAATTTTTTAGCAGTAGAAAGATCTGTGTTGACTTTCTGTGTTGAAAGATTGCTGTTTTATACACTTGAAGGAGGCGACATATGAAACCTAAGAATTATGCGAACAATCGAAAATAGCTTCAACCGATTTGAAATTCGAGCATCTTCGTCTTATTGACCTAATGTGACTTTAAGTTTCATTTTTATCGTGTTCAATTTTCTGACAGTTCATTGATCCGATTTGAACGAATGCTATTTTATGCACTCGAAGGAGGCGACGTGTAATTTTAACCAGAAATTTGAAATACTTTAAACCTATCCGACATTCGAATATCTGCGTTTCATTGCCTTAATGTAACTTTAATTTACTGTCTTTCATTTTTATTTTCAAGATTCAAGGTGCGCATTCGCGTTTAGTTGTCTTTTTCAAAATCGTGGTGGAATTCGCAAGAAAAGCATTTTTCTATCCCGTCTGTTTTTATTACGGGAAAGAACGTGATTTTTAGAGGAACAGTCGTGATAGCCATTTATTTTCAGCATTTTCATTTCTCCCGTTTTATGAAATGATATTTAAAAAAAACAGAGCAGTAGCCTAATGCACAATAGGGTCGTGGTTGACGATGAGTACCGCCGTAACTGGACCGCATTTATGCTCCTGAGGTCATAACCGAAAAAGTGCTGGACACGCCCGAGTTACTTAAGCTTCTTGCGAGAAATGAATACTGCATCCTTTTCTCGGAGAATTTATTGGAAGAAAAGCCTGGAAAAGGGGGAAATGAAATTTCTACGGAAAGTTTTATAAAAAATGGAACGTGGTCAATTTCGTGCGCTCATTTTTCCTCAGCAAAAAGGTCCGACTGAACGGCATTATAAATCCGTAGCCCCTCGTCGAGAATTTCTTTTGAAATTTTGACTAGATACATTTTTTTCTAATATTTAAATGTTGTCACGTGATTTAGAAAGCCATCAAACTGATGGACTGTAGGCTGTATTTTGTTTTTCTCTTGTCCTTCATGAAACTGTGGTGCACTATCTACCATATTCACGGAGCGTTCGGATTATTTTCAAGTTCAGGAAGAAAGATCACTTGGGTTTTTTCAAGTTTGCTGACAGATCTTTAAAATTAAAAAAAATCTGATCTGCATTAAAATTATGCTGCGGCCTGAATTAATGACCATCTGGACTGTGATTAGAATCAAAATGGTAGGCAAGATACATTTATTGAACTAAATATTGAATAAAAAGTAAGCACCCCCCCCCCCAATAAAAAAAAATTGGGAAATAACCTGGCGTGTCGTATTTCACCTAAAGTAATTTAGTCTAACGTGTTCAAAACTGATAAAACTTCCTCAAATGCAACCTGGCCTAAAATTTTGAGAATTTCTGTACTGTATTCTGAACTTCAACACAGGTTTCAGAAACTCCGTCTTTGGCACAGAAAATATTTATGATTTGCTGGAATTCGGACGTGCTAAAAGTAGTGATTTCAACCTTGCATAAATTTCACAGAACAGAGTAAATACAACCCTGTTGATTTTGCAGTTTGCTTTTTCAAACAAAAACAAGACAGAAAACACTCGTGCGTGCCTTGGACTTCTTCATAGGAAAATTTTGCCCTATATTGAGGGACCAGCGATTTTTGTAAATTGCCTTGAGTATCCCGATTAGCATTTGACATTCGACTTCTATTTCGGGGAGAGAGAAAAAAAAACAGTTTAAAGTTTCTCCGCTGCATATTGCTGAAAGCAACAGTTTATCATGGAGCAGACACGACTAGATCTTTCGCATTCCTTGAAGCTGATCTCTGGCAGTTTTAGATCCAAGGGAACGAAGCTGTAAAATTCTTTGCCAATGTTGGTTTAATCTCCCGACTTCTCCCGCGTCAGTGTTGATTCTGCGAGTCTGTATCAGCATCGTTTTCCCATAAACCCAGCCTTGCAGGCGAAAAACCAGCAACGGAAACCCGATGCCGATAAGTGACCTTTTTTTTCTCTCTCTCTCTTGACTTTTCTCTTCCTCTTTTATTTTTCATTCGTCGTCCTCCTTCTTCTCTTCGGCCTTCGTTTTCTGCATAATCTGGTGCTCGGGATTAAGATAGCGATAGGAAACCGCGCGAGAAGATTTTGTGCTTCTGTTACATGGAGTCGGGCGGCGTTTGCGTTTGTGACACTCGACCGCCGATGCCTGGAATTTCCTCTTGCACCGCCTAAATCCGCCGCCGCCGCTTTTCTTTTCTCTCTCTCTTCCCCAGCGTTTTTCGTCTAATTAAGTCTTTAAACAACTTGTTGCGCACTCATGGCTCGAGTTCTTACCTTTCGTGTGGTGAAAGTAATCTATCTGCCCACGCGGTCTTGCCAAAACAATTTTTGTATGTTCCGGTTTCACGGGTCAACATTTCTTTTTTTTTTTTGGCTGGCTCTGGTTTTTGTGAAGGGGTTTTTTGTAGCCGGGATTTTAGACGAGGGCTTTTTTTTTTATTGTGCTGTTCAGGAAACCCTCGAAAGTGGGCCGATTTGCAGCAGTGGTGTCTCTGAATGGTTGGAGGAACTACAGTAGAATCTGGTTCAAACGCAATATTGCTTACGACATACATTCGCTTTTTTCTGGGTTATATCTATTATAGCCAAAATGTTTTCTTAATTTATTTAAAACGAAGATTTATTTCGAAAATGTTTTTCTTAATACCAATGGCTGTTTTTTTAGTGATATTTTGCTGTACGATATCTTTATAGTACAGTATTATATGAAAACTCATTCAATTGCCTTACTTTATTCGAAGAAAAAAGTACCGACACCATGCATAATGTTGAAGTTTTTTTTTTTTTTGGTCTGGAGAAACTATTTCTGGATGCTTTTCTACAAAACATCTCTCGGGCAATATTTATGAATGCGCTGATTTCAATACAGTATTCAAGATTTGTTTGGACCAGCAGACGACGCTTTAAAATGTGCTACCCAGCAATGATGTATACAGTATACGCATGCATGCTTGGCCATAAAATCGTGTCCATTCTTGAGGATATATAGATTAAATTTCATCATATTCCTTGAAGGAAGGAAAGCCACGTGCTGCTTTAATTAGAAATTCTGCTTTTTATCGCAGAAGGTTAGATTTTGTTCTCAGCTGACCTTTTCCTGACGAGGAATGCGCTTTAATATGTTTGTCCTCTTTTAATGTCTTTGTCGGTTTATTTTTTTTTGTCAGCTTAACAAAAAATATGAAAAGAAAAATTGGGAAAACGTGTCCAAAATAGCAATAATTTTTAGAGAAATTCATACGATTTTAAAATACCGGTTTAGGAATTTTATCGTATTGATGAAACAATTTCCATAGTCAGACCTCTAATTGCAGCGATTTTAGTCAGAATTATACTCTAATAATGTCAGTAGTTGCGTTTGATTATGGCTTTTGAGCCTCTTTCTAAATGTGGATTGTACCAATTCAAATCTTTTCTTTTGCCTTTGCGAACCACCGCTTATGGATTCAGAAGAAATATTTGGATTACAGACTAAGCACGTAACATATCTTCATAGCACCACATTGACACATTTATTCCACATTGAATGTTCGAGTGCCTTTTTGCCACATTTTCATTAAAATTTCGTCTCAAATTCCATCTTTATTTTTCATGTTGTGTTCTCCATGCAGCGTAACCCATTTTGGAAAGTTCTGAGAAGGGTGTGAGAGCACCTGTTCTCTTCCAATATCCTTCTCTGACGATTGACTGTTCCGCAACATTTCATTGAATAAATTCGTTTAATTTACAAGTTTGATTGATTGACTGATTTTTTCTGTGTCTTCTTTAGAAGAGGAAACGCCGTCGGTGGGAGTGAATTCGGCAGTGGGTGACCGACAGATGACGTCTTACCTGATCGGAGGGATGGTGGTGTCGGTGTTGCTCGTAGTGTTCATTGTGCTGGTTTCGACGTTTGTGGCACGTCGGAAGCGGTCACCCGGCGGCGGTGTCGTGTCGTCAATCCGCAATGGGCCGCCGGTACTCGGGCCTTGCGCTGTCGGTGTCGATTCTGCATTCGCTGACGTCGGCCACAAGAAGCCGCTGGATGTGCAGCAGCATCGTCATGCCCAGCCCCCGCCGCCACCGTTTCTGCATCACGTTTTGCAAGGTGAGTTTAGTCTCGAGTTATTCGATTTATTCACTCGTGGCTGTCGACTTTTTTCGAATAGAGGAAAATCTTTCTAGCATACTCTTTGTTTGAAAGAAAGGCATACATTCTGAAATGGAGCTAAAGAATTCAAAAAAATATATGTCGTTGTGTTTTTTTTTTTTTTTTTTTTTTTTGGAGCGCCAACTTTCCTCGGCAGAAAGTTGTCTTCTTTGATATGACGACGTTGAAATGCTGCACATCTCAATTTTTTCCAAGTTCTCTACCATTTATCAAAGGATCCCTATGGCCTATGCGCAGAATCATGGGCTAAAAATTTTCATAATGAGATTGAAACCTAGACTAAGTTTGTTGAAACGAAATTTTTATAACATCGCGCCCATGGACAACTGCCAGGACCCAGAAAATTCTTTATAGTTGAAAATTCGTTGTAACGGAAATCTACTGCAGTATTTGAGAAAAATTTCGTTCGTTTATTTTTTTACATTTTGTTCGTATTTCGCCAATTTACAACGAAAGAGAAAGACGGGTTGACGGAATGAAAGTACAGTACTGTATAGTACTGTAAGTTACTCAAACGAAATTCAGGAGCATTGTGATGTTTTCTTCCTGGATTGCTTGGAATTTCTGATTTGTGACTCTAAAAAATTTGCGAACGATGCGCCGATGAAAAAGACGAATTGTGGAGGTGCTTGACCGTGTATCCGAAATTGCATTTTTAATTTTTCCTCCTTGAAGAATGCATCGCGATTTTTAATTGCCTGGAAAGTATTCATAACATTCCGACATCTTGTTATTCTTCCATAAAAATTGTGCAAGGAATAAGGATAGGACGTTTTTACGTATTCATAATTCCTCCACACGAAAATTTGCCGAATATTCGGTGGAAGGGGGCTTTAACAACCAGTGAACCGGAGATAAAATTTTGTTTCCTTTCAAATTTGTAATTATTTAAAGTTTGCGTGATCTTTTTGAATCGGCATGAGGTGAAAGCATCAGTTCATGGCCCATTTCGCCTTTCTCGGAAACCGAATGCAGTACTTTCTCTGTCCTTTACAGTAGTGCTTGAATGTATAATCGAACATTCTGTTGTGGAATGCTTCGACCTGCTTTTTCTTCACAATAGCTACAGTATTTTTCAACATTTCTCAGCGCGAAATAAAATTCTAGAATAGCGGACCATGCTGTTTGATTGCGATGTTGAAAATTGATTATTCGCTTCATCAATGGAGCTTGCATTCTTTTTGTGTTTTTGAAATTTCTTCAAAAACGAAAAAATTGTCAATGAACCAAAAATTATTCACACTGTGATTTCTATGCTAAAGTGACAAATATTTTCTGAAATAACTGGTTACATTCCTCAAATCCGTATTTCTACGGACACAAGAGAGTTTTTTTCAAGCAAAATAACGAAGGATCTTAGAATGATACAGCATGAAACGTGTCACAATAGCGGCAACACAGTTTACTCATAAGAAAATAATATCTTTTCGTAGAAATTCGAAGCGATGCTCTCTTCGTAGACTTTGAAGTAAGCATCGTGCGTCAACAAGACTGCTTTTTTTTCCAAGGCAAAAAGTAATGGGGAAAATGTTTTGAAGAAGGCTAGAGAAACACTGAGAAAAATCGCCGAGAAAGAATCCGTTGTATATAATCTTTTTTGGTTTGTATAATGGGGAAAATGTTTTGAAAATGGCTAGAGAAACACTGAGAAAAATCGCCGAGAAAGAATCCGTTGTTTATAATCTTTTTCGGTTTGTATAATGAGTTTTTCATTGCATTGTGATTAAAGTGTTTCTGCGTGTACCTTTGGAAATGGATGATTATTTGTGACGGAACCGGTTAAAACGGAATTTTACATGCATATTTATTTATTTATAATTATTCTTTTTTTGTGTGTGTGTGTGCAGATCGGCAGCCAGCTACCGCAGTTCTGGGTCTAAGGGATGATTATTCCCAGCAAAGGGTGGGTCCTTTGCCGTCGCGGAACGGAGACGGGTTCCGGTACAAGTTGGTGCCGCAACAAGACCCACAGCTCATGTATGGGCGCGACTCTTCCTCCGACGTGTCCTCTACGCACCACTATCAGAAACTGCCGCTCGGCTCGTCAGCCACGCCGACGGGCAACGGGGCGTCCCGAGGGACGCCGGATTCGTCGGCAAACTGCCGTCACTGCGGACCGCCACCAGTGGCGCCGTATCATCAGCAACAGCATCAGCAGCAGCAGCACCACCACCACCTCCAGCACCGAGGCTTCGCGCCCGACGGTGCACCGAGCGTCGAATCGTGTCGCAGTTTCGTGCACTTTTCCGCCGGAATGAGTCACGCGGTTTGAAAAGTTTGAGAGGAAATGAGGTGCTTTTCGTGTGTGTGTTTGTGTGCGTGTGTGTGTTGATGTGTGCGTGTGTTTTCTTTTTTTGACCAAGGATGATGATGATGATGGCGACATCTGGAGAGGAAGGAGGGGAACAATCTCGCGGGGGCGTTCCTTTTTTTTTTTTTTTATACACAGCAGTTGATTGTCAGATGTTTGTTTTTTTCTAACTGTGGTTTCTAGTTGGGTGTTCAAGTTGCTTGACACTAAGCGGAAGGTGTGTTTTATTTTCAGTTCTCGCATTGGTACCTTCTTTTTGGTGCTGAGCAGTCGAGAAACTTAAAAATTCATGACCCCGTTTGAGGATCTAGTTATTCTAGTCAAACGTATCCTCCATATAAAGGATAAATTTATACATATTACGATGAAAGAATATTATTTCGTGAAAAAAAAAGAACAACGTTCAGACGTCTGACGATAGCTTTAAGGGACCGTAATTTTTGCTCGAAGAGCTGCATTCCTTCATTAATAATTTTCATGACGCTCAAAAAGATCAAAATGCATATTCGTCAAACACCTCGACGAGTGGCTGATTGATTTATCTGGCAATTTTTAGCTTCCGAAACGGATATGACTTCAAAAACATTTTTTTTCAACGCATAAAAATATTTCGGATGCAGGAAGGTATCAATATCTTTATACGTCAAATTAATAGTCAGTTGTGGTTATGTGAGTGGATTATAAATTCTGATCAGTATTAATCTCTTTTCGATTCAAAGAATCCCGATGTTTTCCTTCAAATTTTGCTTGGCTCGTGTTTACAAACAAATGTTGTTCCCTGGTGTGAGGCGTCAATGTGATATTTGAACAATTTTTTTTTTCGATGACGCGGGAATAGTGTGAGGAGATTTCAGACCAGAATTTCCTTTGGAAATTTTTGTGTATACAACTTTGTTTTTTTTGAATGTTGGAGTCGGCGATTGGGGTGAGAAACGAGCTTTTTTTTTGTCGTTCCGCGGGAATTTCATGAGGATGTTATTTCGGTGTTGCTACTGAGTGTGTTGTATTTCTCCGATGTTCGGGATCATAATTCCAACGTGATCCCGTTGGTGTCTCGAGTGTATTGTTTTCGTAAAAAAATTGAACTACGTCCTGAAAAATATAGATGAGTTCAGACAAAATTACTGACTTCTTCCTTTCGTTGCTTGTGCTGGATTTTTTGTTGTTGAAATTTATTGCGGAAACTTTCGTGGCACAATTTGTGAATTTTCCAGAATAGCACATCAATTTTTTGGGCAATTTTTATTTTCAACAGAACTGATTGACGAGGGTTTGATGATCAGTTCTCTTTAAATCAACTATCGTTTTCAGATCTTGCCGTTATTGCTGAGCATATTTTTCCACCATTTTGAATATTTTAAACCACTCTAATCACTTTCAAATATTGTACAGTAATGTATTACAAATTTGAAGGTTTTATGAAGGTAAACCTCATTTCCTCAATGTGTATTACAGGAGAAAATACACCATATATAATCTTTATTTCAACCTTGGTGGACAAACATTCCAAACGAAACATGCATAATGTATAATGGCACTTTGTCTAAATCACGTCCATCACCCATTCGTCAAATATGGAAAGCAATAGAGGGGAAGTACTCCTGAATGAATTCATTTAATTCTATTTCTAGTTTTGTATTTGTTTCTTAAGGTCCACGTAAATCACATTTTTTTTATTTTCAGACTGACACATGTCCATAATAAAAGAAAAAATTACCAGACGTAGATCAGGAGTAGGACCAACGCGAAAAGCCTATACAACATTGATGAGTGTACTGTTATTGTGTTTTACGATGTAACGTTTTGAATAAATTCTTATCTGCAGCACCAATAAACGTGAAATATGAAGAGCTGCAATTTCAGAAAATTTTTGGAGACGCTGAGTGAACTTTTTTGCGTGCGTGAAACCCTAAACTTCAGTGATTTATCTCAGGAAATCTAAATCAAATAAATCCCAGATGTAAAATATAGATGTCTGTGTTGGCAAAGCATTGATGTTTTTCTCGTTGTGAGTTCCATGCTTTCAATGGAAGGTCAAGATTGAGGGAATATGTGCAGCCATGGAACACAATCTTGAGCCGTGAAGCAATCTTTTTACTCGTTTCATTTTACAATTGACAACTGATACGAGGCCGTGAGAAGATAACCAGATGCAAATGCAAATTCGGTTCGAGCCAAGGACGAAACCTTTTGATGGACTCATCATAATTCCGTCAAGAAAAGAATCACGTGAGTTACTGATAAAGCTGACAGAAATAACAATAACCACGAGAAAGATAAAAAAGGCGGATAAAAATGTTTTTGGAAGGTTGCAGGATTTGAATCCTTCTTCCATGAATTATTTTTTCCTTTCAGCTCGTCATGGCTTTGAGTTTATTCAAAATTATCGACCATTAAATGGCCATTATCGCATGGAATCGTCGAAATATTACTTTAATTCATCAACGTTTAAACTGCGACTCTTCGTCTGTGTACCGATTTACTATCAAAACACTTTGTAATCTCTGCTCGTGATCAGCGGCGATAATCCAAGAAGTGCATTACGAATCGTTATCTGCGTTGTCTAAATTAAAGCTTTATTGGCTAAAAGGAAAAATTATACCGGTATTATTTCAGAATAATAGGGACGTGTATCTGTTGTTCCTCAAAATGGTCATAAAATGGGAAAGAATATACTGTACTGCACTTCATGAATTATCAGATCGAGGAAGAAAAAGCCGCTGAAGTGACATTTAGAATACAACCACTTACATTCTACAAAACAAATATCAACTGGATCAGAGCCATTAAAGGTGCTTTGGATGTTTTTGTCACCGCTATTGATGAACTTTTCAATCTCCTGAATCAAATGCAAGTATAGAAAAGCAACGGTATTTTTACATTTCTCAAAATTTAATTGCTCTTTTACGGTAAAATGAAAAAAAAAAATTTTTGAAGCGATGAAATCAACCATGTCAGCCCAGAAAGAGCGTGAACTTTTTCCAGTGGATTATTCAAACCTATTTTTTATTTAAATTGCTCATGCAAGTCAGAGTAAAAAAACAAATAAATGAGTTTCATTGATTTCTTTGGAGATACTATTTTTCCGCCATATGTCTGGAAGCCTGGGATTCAAAAATAAAGAGCTAAGTCCTCAGAATGACAAAAACCGAGGAAATATTTTTCGCACCTGTCTGCGATGACAGCTTGTGAGTCTTCTAGAAAGTTCAAAAATGTCTAGAAATTCCTTTGCATCTGAGCATTGCTGGCAGGACTACTACAATTTCATGCTAAACAATATTGATTTCACAATTTTCTGCTGAAAAAAAAATCACAAATTGCTTGGTTCATTGCGGTATTTTCGGCGTTTATAGCTGCATGGTAGGACTTAAATGAATTACGATGTACTTTTAAAGAAAACTCGGTTCACATAACATATCCTTATCTAGGAATGGATTATTTCGTTTTGCAGACCCGTAAATGTAATTTATTTTCTGGCCATCCTTAGGGGGTTTGTTGATTTAGCAATGGGTATAACATGGGTAACTCCCTAACAATTTTGTATGTAGAGTAAATCATTGCAGACAAGATTTTTGTAGAGAGTTTCCATTTTGTAATGAGAATTTAAAACTTGTATTCTATGGACTTTCTGCAGGGACTTGAGAAACATTTTGTTATACACTGAGACATTTTTTGTGCAGATATTTTTTGCACTGAGATGGAAAAAAAATAGAAAAATTAAAAAAAATGCAGCATGAGGCAATTGCTGAGCACAAATCAAAGCAAAAGGTGTTCAGCCTGTTCCCAGATAATTTTCAATATTGGTGGAACAATTTCAAAACAAGCTGAAGACCTTGTGCTTTAAATAAACTTTTATTGCTACTTTGTTTTCAATATGTCAGGAAATGGGTGGGTGTATGCGCATACATGGCAGATGTCCAGTTTTATTTTGTGGATTGTGTTCTCTTTTATTTTTTGTCATCAATTTGTGCTTTGTTTCCTGCTTTGAAGTGATTGAATGTCTTTGAGGGGATTTGGGTTGGGTGGGGAGGGGGTTTGGATGCGGGAGTCTTGGTTGTGCCTTGTGACAGCTGAAAAGCGGCAAATAAAGTGTTCTGTTCATTCAATTTGGAGAGAATCATACGTTTTGGAAAATGACCTTTTCATTATCAAGTTAAGTCTTTTTTATTCAATCAATGTCTGCTGTTGTGGAATGCTGTGCATGGAAGCCAGCAATAATAAACTGAGTGCCACCCACCCACTCACTCACATACACACATAGCCCAGAGCGTTGGTGGCGTGTTCACTGCGATTACCTGTTCTCTGCAAAGCGTGGATCGATGGATCAACGCTCCTGAATCCGGGGCGTTGGCTCCGCTTTTTTTTTTCTCCCCGGACGCAGGCGGGGGAGGCGACGACGACGATGAGAGTCGGTTGATGCGGTCGGGAGTTTGGCAGTAATTGATGCGGTCGCGGCCTAACCGCTCCATCAGCAGTTCATTCAGACGGCCGGCATAAACATACCCGCCGCCAATTAGCGGGGACCCACCTGGGGCCTTCCCCCTCCGACGTGATCAATCAATACAAGCAGAGTTATTTTAACGCAGCGGCAATTAGCGAGCCAGCTATAGGAGTGAGTATGCATGCATATCCGTGCTCCTGTGCTATGCTGTTGACCCGGATGGACCTGATTTTGAACACCTCACTGCTGCAGGCTCAAGTGAGGAGTGCCATGCAGGCTTGAATAACCCAGCCGCAGATTGAAGGGTTGACAGAGGTTGTATAGTTGATTGGCAAACCGTTTATTATTATTATTTTCTTCAAATTTTACAATCCGTCCTATCAAGCAGCGGCAGTGCGAAATGACGTCGAGCAATCGCTTTCATTTGGAATCCATGCAATCCTGGATACACCGTTTTTTCTGGAACTTTCTTCGGAACTTCTTTTTTTTTGGGGGGTGCCCATCTTATCCGGCAACACTATTTTCAAAAAAAAATCATCGACTTTTTCTGTCATAAAAAAGATTTTTTATAAGCTTCAGCAAGTTTGAAAATTTGAATAAATTTAATCGCTTTCTGGTTAGCTTTGCGCCATATTTGTTAACTTTCATAGAATCCAAAATTTAAATTTAA